ACACGCTCTGGTACTGGCTGAAGACCCAACAGGCTATGCTCGACTTGACAGCGCAGACGACCACCGCCCACCCGCTGCACCTCGGCAAACCTAGCGAGCCCAGTCTACCGCCAAAGCCGGTCGCGCCGGCTCCTCCTCTAAATTCGCACTTAGATTACAATAGAAACTCTTGGCTGTGGCAATATTACAAACAGTTTGGGGGTGCGATGCCCCTGCCGGAGGATAAACTGAAATCGGCATCGCAGGTCCCGAAAGACAAAGCGGCGGAGAACATTCTTTATTCGCAATTGACAAGAGGCAAACCGGAGGAGGAACACGCCGCGACCGCGATACCGATCCCTGTGCCACCGCAGCCCGCCGCCACCGGGGAGGTGCGCGAGTCAGCCGCGCCCGAGCCTCGCGTACCCGAACCCGTACCCAGCCCCGACGTCGGAACGGAGAACAAAGAGCCCAATCACGAGAAAAATGTGGACACCAGCAGAAGTCAAAACAAGGCTCGGAATGTCCTGGACAACTTGCTCTTCAATAATACCAATCAAACGTGCGGAGAGGAGGCGAAGTCGAACGAGGTCACGAACGGAGAGTGGGAGAGTGGCGCGGCAGAGGCGCTGGAGCACGGGGAGAAGTTCTTGAGGTGGCTGGAGGCGAGCGGCGACCCCAGCGTGACGCGCATGCACGTGCACCAGCTGAGCGCGCTGCTGCACAACCTACGCTCGCGCCGCGCCGCACCGCACGCGCCCGCCGAGCACGCGGCGCGCCGCAAGTAGACGCGCCCCCGGCTTGCGCGCTCGCTACAGGGAATATTTCAATTATACGTGTACATATTTAATTACGTCGTCGCCAGTAAGCGTTCACTTGTGATATGTGTAGCCAAATTTGCGTAATTTCTTTGTTCTAAAAGGAAAGCTATGCATTATATTTGTTTAGTTTATAAGGTTTAACGTAGCCGCGGTGCAGAACCGGCGCGGTTCCCTCGATACCTTTGTCGAATCTCTACATTGATAGTTAAACTGTTTCCGAGTCTATAACAAACTTTATTGTGTTAATAAATATAGGTAATAAATGTTACAGTTCCACAGTGATGTTAGTTTCTGATGCACACGAGTCGTTATGTGATTAGATTAATTAGTGTTGCCGTCGCCGCCGCTATCTTTGTACGTTGCCATTGTCGATTACATTCCTAGGTGTTGTGCCCTACCGTAGTGCGATCCCTATGTTCTACCTCAGATCAAATCTAATGCTAAGTCATGGCCATCTGTCGGCCGCTTAGGGATATTTGTGTTGCGAGAGCCGCTTGTGGCAATTGTGTCGCGTACCTATACCAAATAATATTGAGGTTGCGATTGAATCGAATGTGCCAATCGTAAGAACAAGGTAGTATATGTTGTTAAGATATAGATGACTATGGTTATCGACACCCGTGTAATTGTTTTTTATTGCTCAGTATTTTATATAATATCGTAGACAATCTCGAGGTCTCGATTCGGAATTGTATATGTTAAACGTAACCAGTTAAGGACTCTGTGATCAAAATTATAAATTATTGAGAGATTATTAATATTATAAGTACATTCCTAATAAATAGAGCGTATTATTATGGTGATGTTGAAGCGAGCGACCGACGGCACGGGGAGGTCGGGGACGTCGCCGCACGCCGCAAGCCTGCCCGCCTGCCCGCCGTCGGCCGCACGCTGGTTCAAAGATTCTATGTCTCCTTTCCATTGAAGTTAGTATAGTTGTATTGTGTTCGTTGTAATTATGTTAGCTCCATTGGATACTGTTTCGAGAGATAATATTTTGTACAAAATTAATATGAAAAAAAATGATTATTAAAGATTATACTTCGTAACGCAGAGTTTGTGATCTTGAAATGTTGAAGAATTAAATTTGAACCTTTAACGACATCTTGTGTTTTATTTACATTAAAATGCTATCAGAAAACTTTCTTAACACTAAAATACGACGAAACTACGAAAACAATCAATAAACCTTACATCTTGTAATTTATAATTAGAAGATAAGATTCGTTACAAAATACAACATCGCAATGAAAAAGCGCTGTGTAAACTTCGCGCCAAAATTACCGTGGTTGTTTATTGGGTACTGTGCCAAATATTTCTCGATATTTGTCCTTCCAGAAAATTATTAATAAAAGCGGGACACTTCGAAAGATTAATATAAATAAAGATATCAATAACACCTAGTTTTCATTATTGAAATCCCTTTTTTCGTAGTCGAAATTAAGTATTTAAATCAACAAAAACTATAGATGACTTGAGACATATAGCGCCATCTATTATAAATTCACCATAACTTTTTAAAATATCCAATTTTAAAATAATATTGGTTTCCGGTGTATGTCCGATGTAGAACATTTTAAATTATTATTACACGCGATGATAAATACGGATTAAATAAGAATACAAAAGGACTCACGTGCAGCATGGGTTTCGCAAGTGGTTCGTAATCAAAATATTCCGAAGCCAAAGTAGCGATTCCTTGCCATGTAGTTGTGTCGGAGTAGCAGAGCTTTGTTGGCCTTATCGTTGTACACACCATTTTCTTAAACAAATAAAAATGCAATGATTAATATCCCATATTTTGGTAATATCGTTTGCTTTCACATTTTTAGAAAAGCGACATCTATCCTTAATAAAAGAAATAACACCAAAGTTTTTGATCATATTTCTTTGATATGTTTTAGCTTAAGGTGGTGTAATACTATCCTACAAGAGGTCTCTGACTTAATATTACAATACATTTTATAGCATGACCTAATAGTTTTAATACATAAGTTCACAAATTAGCATCAGGATTGAACACTAATTTGACCGACCGACCGAAACTTTAGGACTCCGTAGCTAGTAACAGGACGACTAGCAGTGTTACTAGGCCGCAGCACATGCAGATATGTCTTAAAAATGCGAATGTATAACCTACCTGCAAACCACATTCGTTAGGCGCTTGTAGTAACAGGGGTCGTCGAAACTTGTAAAATAACAGAAATTGGCGTCTAAAATTTTCAGCGTAGGCAAGTAAAAGCCTCTCTTTATCAGTGTTCGTATAATAACTCTTAGGGAAACATGATCTTGTTTCAAAAACTGGTTCGTTTATTTCTGGCCAACAAAGGTTTACTACCCCAAGTTCGTAAATGGCATTAACTAAAGATTCTATATTCAGTTTGTCTTTCACAACTTTACGACCAAAAATCCTCGGTGATATTTCATTGAATTCGCCTTCTTCACACGGTCGGTCAAAAATTTGCGTTACTATACTTTCATTAATTTCAAGAACTGGATCTAATTGTTCCACATCAGTTTTCTTGTCTATCGAAAAAGTTTCTGAAGATAACTTAATTGAGGCCATGTTTACTGTATTTGGTCCTTCTCTACGAGTATATTATATGCG